GTAATGGATGTAATGCATTTCACATATACCATTATCCTATTTTCTTTTTTTTATTGCTCATAGTCTCTTTACTTTTACCCAATTAGCTTGTATTTTCTTATGATTATGCCTATTTTCAAGTCTTTAAATAATGAACATTATGGAAAAACAAGATAATAGTGCTGGTTTGATTTTGAAAATTTAATTGATATTAGTGAGCTTGATAATGATGTTGACTCTAAATATTGTGATTTGCCTCATGAATTGTTAAAGTGGATGGAATAAGAAAAGAAATCCATAAAGCCTTATCAGGGGACTATAGACCTATTAAATTTAGGAGATAAGAAGAATAAGAATGAAGTCAGGATCGGTTCTTCACTACCACCGATGGAAAAGCATAAGTTAGTAGACTTGTTGAAGGAATATGTAGATATATTTACATGGTCTGATTAAGATATGCTTGGGCTTAGTATGAATATTGTTGAACATAGGTTACTTTTAAAGCGAGATTACCAACTAGTACAACAAAAGTTGAAGCACATGAAGTCAGAGATGTTGAAAATAAAAAAAAAAAGTAAAAAAACACTTTAATGCAAACTTTATTAAAGTAACTAAATACCTAGATTGGGTAGCCAATATAGTCCCAATTTTTAAAAAAGATGAAAAAGTGAGAATTTGTGTGGATTATTGAGACTTAAATAGGGCTAGCTCAAAAGATAACCTCCTATTGCCACATATTAACACCCTTGTGGATAATACTGCCAAGCATTCTACCTTCTCATTCATGGATGCATTTTTTAGAAATCAAAATGGATCAAGAGGATATGGAGAAAACTACATTTGTGATGATCTAGGGTACATTTTGCTACAAGGTTATACTTTTTAGGCTTAAGAATGCTGATGCCACATATTAATTGTAGACTTGAGTATTTGATGAAATAATTTGTTTCTTTCAAAATTTTGTCAACTTCATGTCCAACTCTAATTAGTTTGTAAAAACTCAAGTGCTTTTCACATTTTCTTAAAAAAAAAATTTTTTTCTTTCACATTTTTAATTTTTTCATGCTTTTATAATTTTTGTATTAGTAAAAGTTCATAGGATACTTTAACTTACTTTTAGTATTTTCTGTGATAGTTTGTTTCCATGAACAATATAAAATAGTATAAAATATTTCATACTCACTCAATACTCACGTTGAATATTGTTTTCTTTTTCTTTATTTACTTTGTTGCATTTTTAACGAAACAAAAAAATAAGATACAAAGGAGTTTTTTTTAAAGGAAATAGTGATTTCAATAGTGAAAAACAAAATAGAGTAGCCAAAAATAGAAATTTTTAATAGATTAAATAATATGTTTTTATGGCAAAACCTTGATTTATTCATCACCATTCCTTTAAAAAAGAATGAGAATGTCAATCCCAAAAAAAATAGTTATTTAGACATGAATCTAGATCACCTCAAGTTAGCCATTGAAAAATGTTATTAAGTCCAAGCTTAAGGTTTAAATGAATCCACTTCTTCACTATGGGCATGTGAAGCATTCTGTGTGAACAAAAGATCAGAACAAATTTGAAAAAAATTAAAATTGGTTATCAATTATAGGCCATTTAATCTTTTTCCTTGTATATGATAAATTTCCTTTTCCTAACAATAAAATGTTGGAAAGTAGGTAATAAGAAATTGAAATAGTGAAAAGTCATGTTCCAAAGTTTTGAATTAGCTACTTTTCTACTTGTTATATTTAAGACTTACTTTTTGGCAAAACTTGTAATTGATGATGATTTTCTATTGATGATTTTGATTGTAGTCTTCTCTTACAAGTATTGGTTGATCTTACGATGGAACTTTCAATGAGTAAAGAAAATGATTTTAAGGTGTGTTGCAAATATCACTTTTTGTAAAACCTATTTCATCATTAGTTAATTATAGTATGCAACACAATATAACCGAAATGCCTCAAAAATACAATGAAGTTTTGCTTCATGTTACCTTTCACTTGTGATATCAAACACTACAAATCCATTGATAAGAAATGAAAACATCTAACTTTGAACATTAATTTTTGTAGAAATAATATCAAAGTAACTTGTCTTTATTTATGAAAAAATGGGAGAAAAAAGAAGAATTTCTAAATTATTCGATCTCTTGAACACCTCTAAATTGAACACTTACAATCTTTATTTATAGAAATTGAATTCTAACGTTATGACTCTTTGATTGTGTTTTTTCAATCAAAGATCATTTTTTTAATTAGAAAGATACCTTTTTGAATCATTAAAGTTATATTAGTTCATTTGAATGATCATTCTTTTTATTCCAATAGAAATAATTTTTTAATGTTTTAAAAAAATACAAATTTTCACTAAAGCAGTCGATTGCTCCCTAAAGGCAGTTGATTGCCTTTCTGTATTTTTTTTGTTTCTAAAATGTTCTCGAGGTAGGTAAGTCTGCAGCTACCTTAAGGTAGTCAACTTCATTAAATTTCAAAATACTCAAAACTGATAGATTTCAATAGTGTGGAGACTTGCACTTTACTTATAAAGTATTATTTGCTTTGATCTGAAGATCTCATAGTTTTATCTCACAAGTATATATTTAAGTCTCTACTTATATATTATAGAAAATTCTCAAAATATCTTAATGTGGATTGAGGTGTCATAAATTCCCTAGTTAAACATTAATGCCCCTTATTAAAATTAACACAAAGCACACACAAAACCAAAATCATACAAAATGTTAGGATTTTAGAAGTGACTCTCACCATGTAGCACTTAACTTTTTTGAGATTTTAGAGATGGCTCCCACTGTGTAACACTTAGCTTCCATCTGACTGGTGATCGCTTTGATGTCATTTATGAAGACTCGTATTTAACTGTGAAGTATTGTTCATTTTAACTTGAAGGCTTTACAATTTTATCCCATAAATGATGCCTTAAAAGTATTAGTTTAAGTCTCTACTTATATATCATAGTAGATCCTTCAAACATCTTGATATGGAATTGAGGTGCCATAGATAGAGACCTTGATACCTTTTTAGAATGCATAGTAGTATTGCTCCCATCCATAGCAGTCAATTCTTTAAGGTAGGTAATCAATTGCTCATTTGTTAAGTTTTGTATCGAGACCTTGATACCTTTTTAGAATGCATAGTAGTCAACTTTTTTGTCATAAGCAGTTGATTGCTCCCTAGACATGAATATGGCAGCCAGCTACTCCTATTAAGGTAGTCAACTATTTTATAAGATGCTAACTTTTATTGATTCTTTAAATCTATAATTAATCCTATTGTTCATAGAACATTACCCTAAGCTATTAAATAACTTAATATGATTTCTATTTTAATTAAGTTTTACTTAATTAAACTATTTTTATATTTTGAAAATATTTCTACCAATATATAAAGAAATAAACAATTCAATTATCTAAGGGAAGAACTAAAATGCTAATTTTTTATTTAAAAAATGGATTCAGACTCAATTCTTTATGTAGAGAATAGATGTGTAGTGCACTTGCCACAAAAGGTGTAAAAGAATCGAACATGAACAAATGAATGTGTGTCTATGGCTTATTCCTTTATTTTTTGAGCTAGTTGAGCTCAGTTCATGCTTGGTAAAAAAATTGCTTTGTTCATTTAAGCTTGGTTAGTTTAGATATAAAGATATTTGAATTCAGTTTGTATTCAGCTCAATTAAGTTAAACGAATTCATTCATTAACATTAAATGAATATGTTCATGAATAATAACAAAATATACTAAACAAGTTTAAACAAACTGGCCATAAATTTATATAAACGAATCATAAAATAAGATTAGAAGAAATGAGAAAAATGTAATTTATTATTATTATTACTACTACTACTACTACTACTACTACTACTAAACAATAAACGAATAATAAATGAACCCTAAATGAACAAGTTAAACGAGTTTATTCACAAATATAAATAAACCAAATAGACTTTTGTTCATATTCAGTTTATTTAATAAACGAAAGTAAAAATGCTATTTAAGATTATTTGTTAAGTTTAATAAATAAACATAAAATCAAACATATTCATGAGATTTATCAAACGTATTGTCTATTTACACCCCTACATACAATTAGTTTTAAGAAGTTACTATTTTGAATATCAAAATTCAAAATTGAAAAATCAAATGAACCAAATAGACTTTTGTTCATATTCAACTCATTTAATAAACAAAAGCAAAAATGCTATTGTAGATCATTTGTTAAGTTTAATAAATAAATATAGATCAAACATATTCACGAGATTTATCAAATGTACTATTTGTTTACACCCCTACATACCATTAATATTAAAAAGTTACTATTTTGAATATCATATTTCAAAATTGAAAATCAAATTATCTTTTGAGGGCCAATATGTAATTATAATTTTTGGACTTGTGGTAAATTTTTTTTTTGCAGGATTACATAAAAAGAAGGGTTTAATCTTAATTTAAAAGAGTGCTGCTAAATGCACCCCAACCTATTCTCTTCACACTCATATTTTTTTTAATTTTTTGTAAGTAAAATTATTTAAGTATCTTTTCTCTTTCACATAAATTTTCAAAAATGAATTTCTAAAAAACCATATAACTTTTTAGAAATGGATTTTCAAAAAATTATAAAATCTTTTCCGAAATTCATTTTTGAAAAGTTAAATTTCATGAAAGATTTATGATTTTTTGAAAATCTATTTTCGAAAAATTATGGCTTTTCAAAAATTTATTTCCATAAAGTTATAGAACTCATAAAGGTAATTAAATAATTTTATCTACAAAAATTAAAAAAAAAATTGAGGTGTGAAATAGGGATGTATTTAGCGTCACTTAATTCAAAATAACAAAAAGAAAAAGATTAAAACTAAATTATAAAAGTACCCACTTGGGAACAAAAAAGATAGAACTAGAAGACGCCGCCGACCCAACGTTTGCTATTTTAACTGCTGATTATTATAATTAATTAATTAATTATATAAACATTATTAGAGCCTTATTAGAATTAGAGAGGAAAAAAATAGAAAAAGAAAAAAAAGCAGTAGCGGTCTCTCCCATCTCTTTTTTTTTTTTTTGTCGACCCATGTAAAAAAGGAAAAAAAAGGAAGTGAGCAATCTCTGGGTCGTCCCCTTCTTCTTCGGGTTGGTGTCTCTGGTAAAAAATAAAGAAGGCGGAGAATCAAGAAAGCGAAGGCACCAATGCCAGCCCAGAAGCGGTCATTGCCAGAGAATCTTGACGACGAAGAGTCCAGCCTTCATCACCAAAACCATACCAAGCAATCGCGAACCGAAGATGACCAAAACAAGGCTGAAGATGAGACAACGCAACTGGAAGAAGAAAGAGAACCAGAGCATGAACGACAACAATACCAGAAACAAGAACCTGATGGCCAAAATCACCAAGTACAACTCCAAGCCGCCCACGACGAAGATGAAGATGGTAACGCCTTTTTTTTTTTCTTTTACATATAATTTTTCATATACAGGTCGATGCATAGGTGTAAACACGTGCTTGAAGTTGATTTCATAGTTGGATTTTTTCTTCTCAGATTCTGATGGAAGCCAATCTTCTAGTTCTCAAGAGAAACCCGAGTACTCTTTTCTCTCTTTTTTCTCTGTCAATCATTTCTTTTGTTTTGTTTTCGTTAATAAAATTTGGGATCCAGTTGAGCTGAATAATTCTGCGGTTTTTTTGCTTTTTTTTTTTTTTCTAACGAGCATTTTTTTTTTCTTTCGGGTGGTTTTGGCTGTTGGAGAGAAAGGGATTTGCGTTTAATTTGTTGGGTTTAATGGTATTTGCTCTATGACATTGGTTGTTTTATTTATTTCTTCAACGTTTAGTCGATTGCATTTTGCATTTCAAGGATCTATGTCCTGTCCATGCTCGTAACCACTTAAAGCTGGAAAATCCTGAAATTTGTTCTTGTTATTTTCTTTATCGGTGCGAGGTCCTCTGTTTATCAAGTAAAACACTTGGCATGCTCATTACCAACTTAAATAAATACTAGCTTAAAAACACGTCCTAGTATATTTGGAGTTGGTTATCCTTCTACTGTTCATAATGTGAATGATTTATCTTGTACAATTTCACTTTTATCTTTGATTGTGGATTTTTTGTCCGTTTTTAGACCTTGTTTTTTTGAATCCCGTTATGCGATATGTTTTCAATTCTAGGGAATAGGATAAAATCATAATGAGTCACTAGGCGAACTTTGCTAAGCAGTGATACTGGGGCAGTGCCTCTATGCCTGGTCTTTTGAAATTTTCTTACTTCAAGTAGTATCATCTCAGTAAAATATCACCAATAGTATCAATTTGGTGCTGATGACTCTTTAAGCAAGAAAGAAAGAGTGGAGACAATCTAGTGGGGACTAAAAAAGTAGCTTCTCATTGTTAATTCTAACCATTGAGAGGAATCAAAGGTTAGACCTGTCATGGAATCTGTTAAAATGGAAGAGAGTGTTGTCTCATTTACAAACCATAATATTTGGGTCATTCTTTTCTTTGCTAGTTTAACTAATGTGTATCTAGGAACATGTGAGGATTCTCACACTGAGTAGATTTAGGGCTTGTTGGTATTTCTTTCTTCCTAATCTGTCTAGATTTACTAAAGTATAACAGCTTTATTCTTCTTGTTCCCTCATAGCATTCTTAGAATAATTGTAAAGTGCCGGTTGACACTTTGGGGTTCCTTGCCCTGCATGGCATATTACTTAACTTGAAAATGCATAAAATATCCTTTTAAAGTAGGTAAACCAGTTTTTTCAAACCCATCCAGTGCAAGTATGCTTGTAGTCATATATTTACATTGATGAAAAAGTGACAGCCGATGGATGTATCTCTCCACTGGCATGCCTGCTGCGATCTTCATGTGTATGGGCTGAGTTTTATAATGCACCTTTTTCAATAAATGACTTGATAGAAGTTCTATTAACTTTTTATGTTTGTCTTCCAGATTTGTCTTTGTAGAACTTCCAGAAATTCGTAAAGATGTTCAATGTCCAATTTGTTTAGGTAATATTTACTTCAATTTGCTATCATTTGATATTTTTCTCCTAATATTTCTATTGAATGTCTGTGATTAGGAGTTGAGGTATCTGTGTAAAAGTGGGTGTAACATATTTTTATGAACAAATCATATTTGTTACATACAGTGTGGAGGTTTAATCTATCACCTTTTATCACTTTGGAATCCCATTTGCATAAATCGTTATTTTAAGCATACATTGTTGATTAACTTGTCTTTGGAAAATCATATAAGCTATCACAAGGACAAGAGGAGAATCAAGGGTCATGTGTTTGGGAAAGACTTAGGTGAAGTTCGTGAAGTTCTTTATTAAAAACGATTTAATAAAAACTAAAATAAAAAATCAGAACCGATATGAAAGGTCTTGTTTACATAGATCAAGTGTGCAAATTTTGAAAAAAAATATTTTTTGATATAATTTTTAGATAGGAATTTTTAGTAAAAATTTTAATAGAATTTTTATTATCGAATAAGTACTCATAAAATTTGAATTATAAATTATATTTTTATTAATTTCTTTTACATATTATTGATTTTTTCATTGAACTCTATCAACCCATAGCTTTTGATTTTCGATTTTAATTTTTAGTGAATTGTTTTTAGTAGAAATTTCACAAACTTCACCTAAAGAACTTCATATAAACCTTTCCTTATGTGTTTAGTCCGTATTTCTACAATTAATTAGTAAGTTATGTCTTATTTACCTGATATTTAAGCAGAACAGAGAGGTTTCCTCATGTTCAAGATTTATGTTGAATTTTTCCAATTGCAGTTTTGTAGTCATATTGTCTGATGGTCATATTTTTTTAGTTGGTTTTGTACAAATCAAATGTTGTCTTCCCCTTCTCTAGCTTGAGTTGAAGTTAAAATGATGTTTTTTGTTTAATAGAAGATGAATTATCAGAACAAAACAACAATCTAATATGAGTGTGTCCTACAATGAAATATAAAGTTTCATTGTACCTAACTAAAAGAAACTTTCTAAATGTAATTCTTTTAAGTTGATTTCCAAATGATGGATCCCACTTGTCCCACATCTTCGAATCTAGTTATGCTTCGCTGGATACTCTATTGGGCATAACGTTCAATTTGTTTTTACTTGTGACTTTTGCTTGAGTTGGAAAGTTATTTTCATTGTTGTGCTTAATGGTAATAGAATATTTAGTGTAAATTTAATTAGTTAATAAAAATGTTTTTTACCTATGAGTGGGCAAGGAACCATAGATATTATTGAAAGCCAATCGGAAAGTAATATATCGGGATTCTCCTCAAAAGATCTAAAGTTGAGAAGATGGGAAAAAGGATAAATGAACTTTGTTGATTTTGGGGTGTCTGAAATTTTCAGATCATGTTTTCAATCAATTAGGAGCAAGGGGTTTTGATGTTATGTAAATCTAAATTTTATAAAATTGTTTTCAACGAAATAGGAGAAAGGGGTTACTTAAGAAATGCAGATAAGCTAGATCATATGAACATGCATTACTAAAAACTTGTCAATTAGGGGACTTAATGGGATAAGTAAATTTTCAATGTAAATCTAAACTTGTCATATTTTAGATGTATCATGTCCATAAAACAGAATTTAGTTAAATATATATATATATATATATATATATATATATACACAAAAGCATTTTTTTTCTGAAGGAAAAACCACAAAAGAGTAATGTTGTAGTACTTGTATTCACACCTGTAATGTGAATGTGCTGCTTATAATTTTTTATGGAGACACATACAGGATAAAAAAAGTTTACTATATCTGATTGCATCAGGGTATACTTGTTAGTCTACTTTTAATCTAGCTGTTATGTGGTCAGCAGTTATGCTATTGGTTTATTGCTTGAGGTATTTATAGTGCATTGCATTTTGTTAGCTAGCTCTGGAATTTGATCAGAAGGAAGCTCTGACATCTGTGCTCATTTGATCTTGTTAACTTGCTCAGATTTCCCTATTATCCATGGTTGGGCATAAATCTGGTAGAAGATCCATTATTTTTTTTCTTTTGTGTGTACAGGAATCATAAAGAAAACAAGAACTGTAATGGAATGCCTGCACCGTTTTTGCAGAGAATGCATTGACAAATCAATGCGACTGGGGTATGCTATAAAAGGATTGTTAGTATGGCCTTTGTTTGGGTTAATTTTGTAAATGTCTGGAAATTTTATTGTTAAAATTGCTTGCTTGATTCTGATTGTAGAAACAATGAGTGTCCTGCTTGCCGTACACATTGTGCTAGTCGACGTTCTTTGAGAGATGATCCAAACTATGATGCCTTGATTGCAGCCTTATATCCAGATATTGATAAGTATGAAGAGGAGGTATATATTATTTTCTTTCTCTTCTTTTTGCTTGCTCAGTAGGTATTTTTTTATTCAGGCTGCTATTATAAAATTTGTTACATCATGATCTTGCTAATCAAATGCTGGTTTTGTGCATTTGGTCTCAGGAATTGGCTTTTCATGAAGAGGAAAGGACTCGCAATAAGCAGGTCAGATATATGTAGATTTGTTACTACGTGTGTTTTTTTCTCACTGCTTTACCTGTGTTCATGGTTAAGGTCAATCATCCTATATTCTAGATCTAAATAAGAGTCCTGGCAGATAGTTGTGGTGATTTGTGTTCATAAACTTGGCTTAAAACAGGCAACATGACTTTCTTGATGCTACTTGCTTTAGCTGCATCCATTTATACAATCGTGTGATTGTTAAAGCATATAGAAGTGTCATTATTGCAATTTGTCTTTCTGGCTTTATGGTGGGACAAATTACCTAAATAGATGTTCTTTATTTCCTGTTTCATCGATGTAAGGTAACAAAAAAACTTGTCCTAGATATTGACCTGGCTAGACAGTTACATGATGATTGCTTGGTAATTTTTTTCCCTCTCCAATGGTCCGTTCTAAAACTATCATTGGACTATATTGTAAGTTCAAGACCTTGACACATTCTGTGTTTCTCCCAATGGTTGTTTCAATGATTTGTTGTACAGATTCAAGCATCAATTGCCCAAATATTTCAGAGACAATCAGAAGCACTCGTTAAACGACGAAGTCTTGGCAAAGAGAGCACAGGTTCCTTTATTACTAGATCACAACGTAATCATCGGAGTGCTCATCCACGTCGGAGAAGGAACTCTAGAGGGGCTGAGCATCAAGGATCTGAAGACAACGAGGATGAAAATGATGATAATGGAGGTGATGATTCATCTTCCACCGATGAGCGCTCCACAGAAGTGAGGCAGAGAAGGCAAAAAAGACGGACTGGAGCTCAGTCATCCCTGCCTTCTTCATCAGTGGTAAACTCAGATGGTGGATGTGTTGAAAATGATACAGAAGTGTCTAGAGACACTAGAGGAATTTCTCCTGTCTGGAATCCAGACATGCTTGCTTGGGGGAGGGGTGGTGCTCGGAGTCACACTCGACATGGATATTCTGGCGGTGGCAGTAGCAAGAGTTCACGTGCTCGCTTAAACAGACTGGTCGAGCACCTCCGGAGCTTGGAGGAAAATGATGATGAGGTATGATAGGACGATAGTATTAGACTCTTTATTAGTTTGTGATTACCCTATTAAGCTGCCACTGGTGGCATAACTTTCCAGTGGTTCGTATCTAATTTATGGGTTTCACTCAAGTAATACTGTAGGATTCTTCTCTCCTTTTCCTCTGCCTTGCCACCCCCCCCCCTTTTTTTTTTTTTGGTTTTCCCGTTTATCCTTCACCATTCTGTATGCAGGTCCACGTTTTGTATAACTAAAGCATATTCTTTGCCTGCAGTTGGATGTTCATCTCAAGCTTATTTCGGTGGATGAACAAAGTACGTCAAGTTTGCAGCAATCCTACCTTTGTTGTCGGCCCAGCCTGTCAGTTAAGCAGCTATGCGAAGTGAGATTTCTTTCCCACCAGCTTAATACATAGACAGTCTCTCACTTTGTAAAGCTGAAGTTAGATGCTAGGAAAATGACTTTTGTTTTGAGTCTTGACATTCTCCAAATGCTAACTTGCATTTGTTGAATGGGTATAATGCATTAATAGAACAGTAGTGGCATGTAAATTGGGCAAAATCTGGTTTCAGTTGACACAAATCCAACCCAGACACCTTAATACATAGTGTTCGAGTTACTGTGCCCATATGGGTTTTTGGGGTCCACCTAAATTTCTGATGTGAGAGCAACTGATTTCAATTGACCTAAATCCAACCAGTCACCTTAACACATGGTATTTGAATTGCTTTGCATATGGTTAAGTTTTGGGGTCCACCTAAAATTGTCATGTGAACTCAATTCATTCAATTTCCAGCTTATATCCGATGCTGGATGCATTCTTCATGTTATTCTAATCTTCCAACACCTTTTTTTTCCCTAATTTCTCCCTATATCAAATACGATCTATCAATTTTTGTTTTCCTCTTCAAGGCTAAAACATTTAGGATGCTTGTCTAAAGTTACAGTGATTGTGTTGCACAGTACATTGCTCTCCAGACACCATTGCGAGCTGAAGAAGTAGAAATATTAATGGTAAAAGGACAATATAATACTACTGATGACTACTCCAAGCCAACTCCTTTGACCTCAGAGGATGCAGTACGAATTTTGGAAGGTCAAGAAACTTTGGCAGGGCTTAAGGTCAAGTGCAGTTCCGGAAGAAATCATCTGGTGAGTTTCTTGGCACTTGACATCTCTATTTGTCGTGTAATAGTTAATATCTCCATCTCCTAATAATATCCATATGCAGTATTTTTTAATTTCACAATCACATTTGTAACTTTATGTGAACATTTCATAAAAAACCATTTCTCTCTATATTATTATTATTATTATTATTATTTGTGAAGCGTGTTGATTATTTTCTAATAAATTAAAATCTGAATATCATTTTGTTTCCTATACTGTTTCAGATTCTAGCATATCGGCAGAAGCAAGCTGGCTAGAAAATTTGGTTCCAGCAAGAAAGATGTCGTTGACTTGTTAACCTACAGATGAGTCGTATGTAAAATACACCGAGTGGGAGGTGTCTGGTCGTTTGATGAAACCATTGTTTGAGTTGCTTTCTTGGTGATGTAAAATTTAGGATATGGAATTGAGATTTTCGAGGATGGTAGAATTAACAGTTTATGTATACGAAATTTGTTTTAAATTGTTTTATGGAAAGAAAATAACATTAGTCTCTGATTGCCAACACGAGTACATACAATTTGCTTTGCCTGCTTTGATTATGCGAAATATTTTTCGACAGTTATTTGTTTGAGGAAAAAAAAAAAAAACAAGTCGTAGTAGTTGCTGATCTGTTCCTTTTGGTCAAACAAAGTAAAGCATTACTGCATTTGCGCAGCTTTGAAAACCCATTGTTCGAAATTCTGATTAAACCCCCAGAATCCTCCAGAAGTCCATTTAACTGCATTTTCATTCCGATTTCAATGCATATATTTTCGTCACATTTTTTGGAGTCTAATGAAATTAATGGTACAAAAGAATGTTGTACATTTTTTTTTGGCTTTTTATGCACAAGACTGATACACAGCCTCCCCCCCTCTCAAGTGCATACAAATGGATCCGCAGTGTCATAATGGGGGGTCTAATGAGATGTTTCACAGGGTTTTCAAAAGTTCTTGAACAACCCCTGCTGCCTGTGGAGTTGTGCCAGCCGGTTATTGTTTCCTCAAACCAAATCACCTAATAAGAGTGGCGGGACTGGAAGTTGCAGCAGTGAGCGAACTGATCATTTTCCTCCTTTCTTTCCTTTGGAGAACATGTAGATGCGGTGATTTTGGTTTTGTTGTTTCCTTGGAAGACCTGAGGCAGTTGTTCATACACAATTCAATCGAGGATAGCGGCCAAATAAAGAATAAAACACTACTTTTCTTACTTTTGTGGGCAGAAAGGATGGTCAAACTTGGGAAGAGGCCTGGCATGGGGAACCATTGTCCTTAATTGCTTCAATGCCTTCTCTTCCTCTAGCTACCAATACATAATGACGTTTACTTTATTAATTCTCACGACATGTTGGCCAAGAACAAAAGTAAAAATGTAGGACAGAGAATAAGTGCATACCATTCTAGCAGCCTCACTCTCCTCTCTTGTCACTTGTACATCATTTCTTTCTCTTTAATCAGCAAAAAGGATTCATTAATTCTTGATGGATAGGAAATATAAACTTAATAACAGAGAGATGTTGGGCTTAATTTCCTCCATCGGGAGATGGTTTAAAACTAAAATCCATTCACCAAGGATTTTTTAGTCCTTTTATGAGAGTGTGGTGGCAAAATAAAAAAACAAAAAAAGAGAAAAAGGGATTTTGTGTAGTTCTAGTCAAGTAATGTGATCGAGGTTAATTTATTGTCCGACTCAATTGAAATTTTATTACTGTGTTCACGACTAATTGTTTTTTAGTTTGAATAGTGGAGATCAAGCTTCGAGTTTTTTACCTATTGATTTCGTGCGTATTTGTTAATCCTTAAATTTACTGAGACTTCTCCAATTTTCTTTTACAAGATTATTTTTTTATCAAGATTTATTAATCTTGAGATATTATGGTTGTATACCTCTAGTTCTAGCTAGAGAGAACTTTGTGTTCTCATTATTTTGATAGTGGAGATCATTTGTTGTTGCTGATGGTTTTTACTCCTTGTTTTGGGGAGATTTTTCACGTAAATTACTTCTATTCTTGTACTTGTGGTTTGATGATTTATTTGTTAGCTCATCTGTTTGATTCCTACTAGATTCACACCAAAGAAAAATAATTTGATTTTTTTTGCCAAGTTATATATTCGATTTGCATATTATTTGAGGTTATTTTATCCCATCAAATTGGTATCAAAGCATCAGGTTATTTGATTTGTGTCTTGTGTTAATAATGGAAGCCAATACAAGTAAAATGATTAATTTGAATGGTTCAAATAACCATGTGTAGAGAGAAAAGTTGAAAGACTTACTTTATGTGAAAGATTATTATTTACTTGTGTTTGCTATTGAAAAGCCTGAAAAAAAAATATATGGAATAAAATTTGTTTCATCAATGGTACGATGTTATATTAGACAGTGGGTAAATTATAATGTTTTGAACTATGTTAGTGGAGAAACACATGCACGCACTATTTGGAGCAAGCTTGAGGAATTGTATGCTCAAAAAACTAGGAATAATAAACTGTTTTTAATTAAGTAGTTGATGAATTTGAAATATCAGGATGACACTCTTATGATAGATCAATTGAATGCATATCAAGATATATTGGCATGAATCTCAAATTTGAAGATGAGATATAGGGCTTATGGCTTCTTGGTACATTGCTGGACTCATGGGATTCATTTAAAATAACGTTATCTAACTTAGCCCCAAATAGTATTATTACTATAGATTTGGCTAAGAGTGGTGTTTTGAATGAAGAGATGAGAAAAAAGTCACATGGTTCCTTTTGAGGTCTTAGTCACAGAAAATAGAGGGTGGAGTAAAAACAAAGTTCGAAGAATAGAAACAGAAGTAAGAGTAAGTTCAATAGATTTGCCAATGTTGAGTGTCATTATTATGGTTTAAAATGGCATATAAAAAAATATTGTTAAAAGTTGAAAAGAGACAACAAGAGTGACAAGGATAAGGAAAAAAAGTATGGTGATGGCAATGATACTGATAAAGTTGCTACAATCATATATGACTTCCTTATTTTATATGATGATAATGTTGTTAATTTTGTACGCCATGAGACTAGTTGGGTGATTGATATTTGTGCCATAATTCATGCCACATATCGGAAAGACTACTTTGCATCTTATACATCTTGTGATTTTCGAAGTGTTAGAATGAGTAATGATGGCTAAGTTAAAGCCATTGGTATGGGAGATGTGTTCTTGGAGACCAATAATAGCACTATGTTGATCTTGAAAAATGTTAAACATATTGCCGATATTTACGTGAATTTGATTTCTGTAGGGAAGCTTAATGATGAAGAGTTTTGCAACACTTTTTGTGATAGTCAGTGAAAGTTTACTAAAGGTTCAATGGTTGAGGCTAGAGGTACGAAGCGCTCTTCATTGTATTTGATGCAGGCAAAAGTATTTGATTCCATTATCAAAGCAGTAGATAATGATGATACAACTAAGCTTTGGTACAAGTAACTTAGTCACATGAACGATAAGGGTTTGAAGGTTTTGGCCAAGAAAACTCTTATTTCTAGAGTGAAGAATGTATCCTTGAAAAAGTGTGATCATTGCTTGGTAGGAAAATAAATCAAAGTTGCATTCAAGATATCCCATTTATCAAGAAAGCCAGGTATACTTGATTTAGTATATTCTAATATTTGTGATCCTATGAGAACAAAAGAACTTGCTGGTTTCATTTATTTTGTGACTTTTATAGATGATCATTGAAGGAAGATATGGGTTTATACTGTGAAATCAAAAAACTAAGTGTTAGATGTATTTAAATAATTTCATGTTTTAGTTGAAAAACATATATGGTTGAAATTGAAATGCATAACGATTGATAATAGGGGTGAGTACACTAGACCTTTTAATGTGTATTACAAATAGCAAAGTATTAGACACCAAAGGTCACCTCCTAAAACTCTTCAGTTGTGTAGACACTAGATTTGTCCAGATCTTTTATGTTAAAATAATAATAATAATAATAAAATAATAATAAATATATATTTTTTAAAAAATTAATTATTAAAAAAAAAAGAAGAAGAAAAAAAAAGAAAGAAAACAGAAAGTAGAGGGTTGGTGTGTAGCACCGCTGCCACCCTACAACCCCCTACAGCCCTTCTCCACTAGACTAGCCGTCCTACTTGCCTCCAGTAGACCCCTCACCAGCCACCTTACAACTTTCTACCACCACTCTATTGCCACCCTACAGCCACCCTTATGGCATACCATATAACCACCCCTGCAGCCACCTTAGTCCACCTAATCCTTAAAGCCCCAGCTTCTTCCCCTTTTAGCTATCTCTTCTCGGACACACCAGAACCCCACGCAAACACACTATTCTCGAATACACCAGAAACCCCAACCTTGGCCCCCCATCTAGCCACTACACTACCCTCAGATACCTAGAAACCCGGATACTCCCAACGATCACAAACCACAAGCCTCGGTTACCCAGAAACCAAACTCTCAAACCAAACCCTAGCTCAACCCTAACTGCACCTCTGCCTAGTCCTCCCCTCGACCATAGCCTTTGCTTGTTCAAGACACCACTTCACAAACCCTAATGCTGAGCTTTCACCCATACAAACACCCCTCACTAACCAGAAGACAAAAAATACCAGAAACATAAAAAAAAAAAGCAACACACTCCTCGTTGATTAGGCGAGGAACCAATAGCATCGAGCTACCTACAAAGAACAAAGAAATGTATAAGTTTTAGTTTTACAAAAAAAAAAAAAAAGGAAAATAAAAACTTTAAGCCCCGATCTACGTCGATCGGGGCTGTTTTTCAACGAAATGAAGGCCATATCTGAGAAAAGGGTGCTGAGAAGAACTTGAGGAAGATTTTTGGTATTTTTTGACGATCGCATGATCGTCGGTGACCACCAACAGTGACCCTAGGCGATGGCCGGCATGGTGGTCGGACGTCAGACTCTGGCAAAGCCAAAGAATTTTTTTTTAAGGCAAAGATTTTTTTTTCTAGAGCATAAAAAGAAAATGAGCCAAAAAAAAAATCTTAAACTTATATAGAGAAAACTCGAAGCAAAACGATGCCATTTTACTCAAGAAGAGGATTCACGTATGGACCCAGCTTCGACCCAAAATTCGCGCGACCTAACCGGTGACCCATCCTTCAACCAACCCTGAATCGGTTTGACTAAACCAGTCGCTGAACCGCCCCTCATTCGATTCAACTAGACAGAATTGTTGAACCGTCCGAACCACTCGAACCAGCATTGATCGAATTGTTAATTGGTCTGGTTCAGATAATTTTTTTTCTATTTTTTTACATATTATTATTTTTGTTATTTTGCACTTTATTTTTAATATTTACGCATGATAAATTTTTAAGTTTTTTTAGAATAAATATTTAATTATTTTTAATAATAATAAAAATAAAAACAAGTAAGATAATAATTAAAAAATATTAAAAATGCTACAAAATAATAATAATAATCTAAAAATTAATAATAAAAATTGAATAATATTATTTTATTTTATTTTATTTTCCCTGCCTAAATGTTGGAGGAAATAAAAACATACTTTTAAAAATAATTTCGCCTAGATG